TTGGGGCTTGATCCCAGGACCCCGAGATCATGACCTGAGCCGAAGGCAGAGGCTTAACCCACTGAGCCACCCAGGCGCCCCTTGTGTGTGTGTGTGTGTGTGTGTGTGTGTGTGTTTTAAGATCTTATTTATTTGGGGGCGCCTGGGTGGCTCAGTGGGTTAAGCCTCTGCCTTCAGCTCAGGTCATGATCTCGGGATCCTGGGATCGAGCCCCACATCGGGCTCTCTGCTCAGCAGGGGGCCTGCTTCTCCCTTTTCTCTGCCTGCCTCTCTGTCTACTTGTGATCTCTCTCTCTGTCAAATAAATAAATAAAAATAAAAAAATAAAAAAATAAAAGATCTTATTTATTTGCCAGAGAGAGAGAGTACAAGCAGGGGGAGTGGCAGGCAGAGGGAGAAGCAGACTCTCCACTGAGCACGGAGCCTGAGCACAGATTCCAGGATCATGAGATCAAGACCTGGGCCAAAGGCAAACATTTAACCCACTGAGCCACCCAGGCATCCCGTGAACATTAGTTAAATAGATGTCTTGTGGGGCAGCTGGGGGCTCCGTGGGTTAAGCTTCTGCCTTCAGCTCAGGTCCTGATCTCAGGTTCCTGGAATCAAGTCCTGTGCCAGCTCCTTGCTCAGTGGGGAGTCTGCTTCCCTCTCTGCCTGCTGCTCCCCCTGCTTGTGCGCTCTCTCTCTCTGATGAATAAGTAAATCTTTAAATAGATGCCTTGTTACTCTCTGAACCTTGGATCCTCCTTAGCTTTCTTTTTTTTTGTTGTTGTTTAATTTAATAAAGATTTATTTATTTATCTGTCAGAGAGATAAAGAGAACACAAATGGGGACAGTGGCAGACAGAGGGAGAGGCAGGCTCCTCACTGAGCAGGGAGCCTGACGCAGGACTCGATCCTAGGACCCTGGGATCATGACCCGAGCTAAAGGCAGACACTTAACCAACTGAGCCATCCAGGTGTCCCTCTCCTCAGCTTTCTTTTTTCTTTTTTTTTTTTTTTTAATTTTTTTAATAAGATTTTATTTATTTATTTGACACAGAGAGAACACAAGTAGGCAGAGAGGCAGGCAGAGGGGGAAGCAGGCTCCCCACTGAGTAGAGAGCCTGATGCGGGGCTGGATATCAGGACCCTGAGATCATGACCTGAGCTGAAGGCAGAGACTTAACCCACTGAGCCACCCGAGAGCCCCTCAGCTTTCTTAAAGATAGTCTCTCTCTCTCTCTCCACCCCTCACCCCAGAGGCTACAGTGTGGATGAACTGGAGGACCACATCTCCCAGCTCCATGAGTATAATGACATCAAGGATGTAGGCCAGATGCTTCTAGGCAAACTAGGTGAGCAACAGGACCCCAGAGGAGTACCAGGGCTTGGAGGGAAGGAGTCTGCATTCCCCCGGGGTGTCTGGATTTTGCTCCTGGGCCCTCTAACTTGCCAGCCTTCCTATCCTCCTCAGCTGGCCCCCTCCCCGAATGCCCCGGTGCAGCTGTACAGCTCTTGCAGGAGTCCCTGAGGTTTCTTCCCTCAAGTGTAGAGCCCGCTTCAGTGCCCCAGGCAGGTTTGAACATGAACTTGCCTACCTGCTAGATTGAGGGCTGTGGTTCCCGGTCTTCTGGGGCCTACTCAGCCTTAAGTGGCTGACTTGCTCCAGAGGCAGAAGATCACAGAAGGGGGACTCTGTGACTTTAAGGAGTATTTTGTTCTTCCTTGAACACAGTCACTATCCAGAGGGCTCAGCCAAGGCACAGACTTCTGTGTGCCTGGGCTGGTTAGGACAGTCCGGTTTGGAGGAAGCGAAGGCATGGATGGCCTCAGTCCAGTCACCTGGCTGGGGTCAGTGGGCACTCCAGCGTTCAGCAGCCAGTGACTGTGTGGGAGAGGGTGCGGGGCTGGGACGTCCGCCTGGTCGCTGCGAGAGTTTAGCACTTCCTGTAGAATTGCCCATCAGCATCCAGGAGTCTGTGGCGGGGAGGGCTTCTCTGTTCCAGTGGAGACTGGGTCCCAAGGAAGGAAAGGGGACAATAGGAGGAGGGAAATACAGATGGAGAAAGGAGGGTGATCAGGCCCCAAGGAGAAAGAGAGGTGAGGGGACTGTAGCCTGGTGGTTAAGCACATCAGTTCTTGGGAGATGGAACCCAGCTTGAGACCCGTCTTTCCCGGCCTGGGACCTGGAGAGGACAGAGCAGCCTCTCCTCTGAGGTGACATTTACTGAGCACCTGCTCTGCGCTGCTCTGCAGGGTGTGGGGCACCCTAGTGAACCTACTTAAAGGACCCCGTTCTCATGTGACTTAGGTTTTGGTATTGAGGGAGGGGTGGGGAAAGGTCAGTAAGTAAAGGAACATGAACAAAGGAATTATAAAATGTGTTAAGTGTTATGAGGGAAACAAAGGCCAGAGATGGAAAGGAATATTGAGGTTTGAACAGGGTGGTGGGTAGGGAGGAGCTAAGGCAGTAAGGATAGGCCTCTCAGGAGACCCCTTCCCCTGGGAGGAAGAAAGGGTCTTTGAGGGAGCAGGAGAAATGGCACCACCAAATGGCCAGGGCATGACCCATGGGCCAGGCGAAGGAGTGAGGGTTTTCAGCAGTCCCCAGGTGCGATGTAAATATAAATTTGCCTTTTCAGCAGGTGGCTGTAGCTGCTCTGTGTGGAGTCCCAGGGTGCTTTGTTTGACTCCTCTGTGAAGTGGGGTAAGGGTTCAGTAAGTCTAGTTTGGGGTAACCAAGCAGAGCCCACAGTGGTAGGGTCTGGAAGGAGTAGCAAGAGGATATGTCAGCCAACTAGGGGAGCAGGGGGGAGGTCCAGGAGTGGGTCCTGGGGAGGTCAGGCCTTTGGCCATTCTCCCTTCCACTCCTCCCAAGCGACATGCGTTCTTCCTTCTTTCTTTCCTTTCAGCCGTGATCCGAGGTGTCACCACCAAAGAACTGTATCCAGAATTTGGCCTGGATGTGAATGACTGAGCCAAGGTTCACAGCCCTTTGTCCACAGCCCAGTGAGACAGGCAGATTTAAACATGAGAGGCAGTGAGAGCCCAGCACCCACAGGCTTCCCAGCAAGGAAGTGTCAGAAGCCGTTTTCTGGAGAACTCAGTCTGAGTCAGGAGGGAGCCCAGACAAGAGCTGGACAGCGAAGAGCTATTCCCTGCTCCAAGTTTCCTGAAATGTTCCCAAGATGTATCTATGTGTGTATGTCTCCCATTTATAAATAAACACACAAGCAATCTGGGTGTGAATCTATACATTGAGACCCTCTCCTCTGGTAGCCCCTTAATCTTCCTCGGGAGAAAGAGCCTGCCTTGGATCGTACCGAGCTTACATGTACCAAGCACGGTGCTGAGCACCTGACATCTGTTATCTCTAATGCCTTAGTCCATCCCATGAGAAATGAATATTGGTATCCCCCCCGTACAGATGAGCAAATTGAGGCTCAGAGAAGCAAAGTGACTTACCCAAGGTCACACCGCCAGTAAGCGGCAGAGCAGAGATTCGAGCATAAGTCTCATTCTGAGGCTTATGGTGTGCAATACAGCCTTTCTGGGTTGGGGGCCAGGCAGGGAGGAGCTGAGTGTGAGGCAGTGACGCTGGGGGAATTCTTCCCTTGTGCGTCCCATCTGCACAAGGAAGTTTCCAGTCCCGACTACAGTCCTCTGCCACGGTGGGGCAAGCTGTCGCTTCTCCCTTGTGTCTTGCTTGTCCTGATCCGCCAGCACCGGCAGAAGGAAGACGAGTGTTGCAAGTGCCAGGTGCAATCCAGAATGGCAGGATTTCACACTGGACCCGCCAAGAGTTCTGACTGTCCCAGCTGCTCAGCCGGCTGTCCCTGCTGGACATCTTCTTGAGATCATCAGTGTGATAGCGGAGCTTGAGGGCAGGCCGTCATGAGGTGAAGGAAGCACAGTTTCTAAAAACCGGCCGTGTGAGTCAGGCCTGGGTGTGGGTTCCAGCTCTGCCCACCTAGGAGCCGTGTGATCACAGCCACTGACTTGGCCTCTATAAGCAGAAATCACAGTAGGACCATATGCGGCGGGCGGTTAGCATAAGCTGCCTCAGCAAACAACCCCACATCTCCGTGGCTGAGCACAAGAAAGTTTACTGATCGAGTCTGATGAAGGTCTGGGACCGCCCCCCACCCCCTCCCCTGCTGCATTTTAGGGCTTCGCTGGAATCCACAGCAGGGAGCGGAGACAAGGAGAAGACGCCTCAAGTCTGAATCAACCCGTCCCCCTATCGGCAGCCGTCACTCCTCTCACAGACAGTTGTCCAGAACTAGTCTCGGGGCCCAAACCCACCAAAGGAGACTGAGACTGGGAAAGGAGGGTGAGCACCTGGATATGGGGCGGGGACTGGCTGCCGTCTGAGCCCCACCTGCCTAGCTGCCAGTGCCCCATCCGCGTTCCTCAGTGGCTGGCCTGACCCGTGCCCGTGCCTGTGCCCCGGCCCCGTCCAGGTGGCAGACACATTCACACATTCGTTTCGGATGCATGCCCTCCTTGATGACCACGAGAGCCAGAGCGCTTTCCCATTTGGGGCCATTTCTTGCCATTTCCTATACCTTCACGTCATTGTGTCCACAGGTTTTCACAACCATCTGACACCAGACAGCTCCCACCATCCTCCTCCCTTTGTAGAAGAGGAAACAGGCTCGGTGAGTGGAAGCAACTTGTCAAAGTCACACAGTGGCCAAGCGGGAACAAGAGCCCCGGTCTGTCTGGCTCCAGACTCCGGCCTTCCAACCCGGGCCCCCCACTGTCAGGCCTTCATGGGTTCTCCTCCCAGCCTGGGTGCCCTCTGAGGACAAGACTGTCAGATTCATCTCGAGTGACACCTTCCGTGCCTGCACCTCACGTGTATTTAGTATTTCCCTACCAAATGTGACCCTGATCTCAACCTCTAGGTCCTGAGGGAGAGCTAGTGATCTAACTGGAGATGGGTGCGGGACGGGGTCAGGCTTTCAGAGTCTCTCACATGTCTGAAGTCCTACACAGCTGTCCCCTCACTTTTCCCTTGCAGCTTCCTGGGCCACATCATCTTGCAGTGTAGGAGGAGCAAGAGAGGTCAGCAGCCAGGCTTGGGGTGAGGGGGGGAGCCTCAGGAGGAGAGGCCCCCACCTGCAGGTTCCCCCCACCACCTCGCCCCATTTTCTCCACACAGACAGCTGGCTTGTCGTATCTCTGTCCACACTGTGTGTCTCCATGCCAGGAGCTGGGAGCCACAGCCTCTGGTTCTCTGCCATGCAGTGTTCACCTGCCAGCAGAAGTCAGGGGTCTAAGAAATGATGACAATGCATTTCGATCAAAGGCTGTTGTGGGTCACAGAAACACGTGAACAGCACCTGACCAGTTTGGGACACTGGGGAAATGTCACAGGGTAGAGACACCCATGCATGTACTGGGAGTCCGCCAGACAAGAACACGGGTGAGGATTCCAGGAGGAGAAATGACATTGACAGAGGCCCTGAGACGGAGATCTAAGTGGACCCAGGACAGATACTGGGCACTCAGTCTGCTTGGACAGGGATTAGAGACAATTTTCTGACTATTTACTTGGACTCTTGGTGCAGATGGGACCCTACCCCAGACACAGTGTTAACCCAGCTCTGCATTTGGGGCTGATCATTTTTGCAGGGAGATAGGTACAGTTTTTATTTTCTGTAACTCACATTTCATGATCTAACTCCTACAGTTTGAAAAAAAAATCCAATGAGACATTAGCTCCAATGAAGACGTTAAAAGAAGACACATAGTGGGTGCCTGACGGGCTCGCTCGGAAAAGGGTGCAACTCTTGATCTCGGGGTTCATGTGTTTGAGCCCCATGTGGAGCATGGAGATTACTTAAATAAAACTTTAAAAAAACAGGGGCGCCTGGGTGGCTCAGTGGGTTAGGCCGCTGCCTTTGGCTCCGGTCATGATCTCAGGGTCCTGGGATCGAGCCCCGCATCAGGCTCTCTGCTCAGCAGGGAGCCTGCTTCCTCCCCTCTCTCTGCCTGCCTCTCTGCCTGCTTGTGATCTCTCTCTGTCAAATAAATAAATAAAATCTTTAAAAAAAAATTAAAAAAAAAACTTTAAAAAAACAAAAATAAGGGACACTTCAGTGGCTCAGTCGGTTAAGGGTCTGACTCTTGACTTCATCTCAGGTCATGATCTCAGGGTCTTGAGATGGAGCCCCGTGTCGGGCTCTGCGCAGGGCATGGAGCCTGCTTAAGATTCTCTCTCTCTCTCTCTCTCAAAAAATTAAAAATAAAAAAGACACATAATTAAAAACAACAGGGAATGCCCCAAAATAATAATAACCCTGGGGCGCCTGGGTGGCTCAGTAGGTTAAAGCCTCTGCCTTCGGCTCGGGTCATGATCCCAGGGTCCTGGGATCAAGCCCCACGTCCGGCTCTCTGCTCAGCAGGGAGCCTGCTTCCCCCTCTGTCTGCCTGCTTCCTCCTCTCTGCCTGCTTCTCTGCCTACTTGTGATCTCTCTCTCTGTGAAATAAATAAAAATCTTTAAAATAATAATAATAATAACCCTTATTCAAGATGGGAGGATTCTGGGTGTTTTCTCTTTTCTTATGTTTTTCTCTAGAGCAGGCTGCTATCACACGGGTGGTTCCGGTGCCAGAATCCCTACACCTCCCACCTGCTGACTCTCTCCATTCCCAGTCCAGCCAGTTAACCCTGACCTTCCTGGAATTAATCCTTTCTTTGCTTTGCTTTATTCCTTCCCTTTTTCTTAACTCCATACTAGTTATTTTGCTTGATTCTAAACTTATCCTCAACCCTAGTTCCAAATATTACTAGAGATAATTTTTCCCTGGACCCTCGCCTCTTTACAAAATACAGAAAGCCCTGAGTCCCAAGACCTCTTGTGGCTATGTACTTGTATTCTGGCAGTTGTCCTGAGTTGCGTTTCTTCTGGAAGGCATCGCATGGCACTGGGGCTGATCCCAGGTTCTCAAGCTGAGAATGAATGAATGAATACACTGCCCAGAACTCCTGAGACCAAGAAGGATGCTGAAAAGGAAAGCATCACCTGGATCCATTTCCTCTTTTGTGAGGTCAGGTCTGTCCGGTGTCATGGCAGGAAGAGACCTCTAGGGGGCAGTGTCTGCCCAGAGATGCGCCGAAGGCAGGGGAGGCAAGCACTAGGAAGGTTTTGCTGGGAAGGTCCCAGCCTGCGGAGCCACTGGCCTAGGACAACCAGATCGTCAACGCGCCCCACACAGAAGTGGGGTTCTCGCCGGCAGCACCCCTCTCAGGAGTCTGGAGTGACCCCAACCCCTGCCACAGGCGGTAAGGAGCCCACTGGCTGTGAGATGCGGAGAGTGACAAGTGCCATTTCTCAGGGGTCGCCTCTGTGGTGGCAGCAGAGGGTACCTCTGTCACAGACCTCAATGGTTTGATCACATCTAGTGTAAACCTGACTCAAAACCATTTATTATCCAGCCCCTACAGCATGAACACAACACAACCTGCATTGTTGTCATCCCTGGGGACGGAAAGGGGTCATTTCTGGACAGCCCACCCTCAGGGAGGCAGTGTCACCAAACAGCACCCCACTTGAGCTCTGCTCAGAAGGGGACACATCAGGGAAGGGGTGTGGGGAGGAAGGCCAGGAGCACAGGGCCCCACTGTGGTGGGAGAAGGATGCCTGCAGCCACCCCCCACGCCTGCCCCGGATGCCCCACACACTCAAACCAGTCACAAGTCGGAGGGCTCCCCAGAGAAAGGGTTGATGGTGGTAACAGCTACCCTTTACAAAACGCCCAGGCCGAGAGACAAGCATTTCACCAGGTACATCCCATCCGCACCTCCCAATCACTGAGTGCATTAGGTGGAGTCTCCCCATTTCCAAACAGCAGCTCAGGGGTGGAGTGACTCGCTCCAGGTCACAGGGCAGATTAATAGCTGCACTGTCCGACCCCAGGGCCTGGCTCCACGGCGGGATGTCCTGCCTCCCCAGCAGAGGTCCAGCCTCCTAGGAGTCTCTCACCCAACATTACGTGTTGACAAAAGGAGGAGTTAGAACCTGAACCCAGAACTCTCTGAGCCCTTAAGCTCAAGGTCTTAACCACAAATCTCCTGTGCTTCTTAGAATTTGTATCTGCCCAAGCCCTGACCTAGCAGCCAGGCCAGTGGCCAACAGTAAACAGCCTTGGCCTTGACCCCTCTTTCCCAATTCGTCTGAGCAGGAGGCTTTGCTCCCTTCCCGGGGACCCTCTCATTCCTAACATCAGGGCAGG